AAAAAAATTAGGATTTCAATAATTTACCACAGTAAAATAAAATTGTTTTATATTTTCGTTGTCAATTCTTTAAGTTTGTTTTTCTCCAATTGATTAAGTGTATTTCTATCATTGAAAAAGAAAAAAAAAATCAAAATACAGTAATTTAGCTACAATCAATATAGCATGGATTTCGTGAACGATTTAGCATAGACTATGTTACATAACACTCATTTTATTATTTCAAGAATCTTTTATTATATTTTACAAAAACAGTAACATTTAAATTATAATTAATTTTTACTATCCATTTTAATCAGTTAGTTTCTAATTTTTCATAAATATTTCCAAACACCCCTTTATTTCTTACGGCTCGTTCGGTAATTCAGATAAAGGTAGATAAGAATAGTTTATTCATTCTTATTCGTGTTCGGTAGACTGAATAGAAAGGGTCAGATAAAATATAGGTACGAGAGAGATTTGATAATAATCAGTCAAATTTCAATAAATTATACTAGGGGAAGAGATAAAATAATTTTATCTTACCCTTATCTAATCTTTTTGAATAATATATCCTTTCTATTACTGTTAGTTACCACATCCATTACTTTTATCGAATAAGATAATTATTCATATTATTATTACTGATAAAATACTTTATTTAAAATTTATTGTATCTTAATTCATTCTATCCATCCACTGAAAGAATCACATAAGGCCCTGTTGTTGTAATAATGGAAGAGTGCTCTTGTGGTATCATACAGGCGGCAGGTATTTATCACATGATGCAAGTGACGGTTGCCAGCCCGGCACTTCCCGTGTGCGCTCATATTTCTAAAGTCGAGTTGGCCCAATCCCAAGTCAATTTTGCTTGTATCCAAATCCTAAATCCATCAGCGCCTATACGTAGGATTTTATGGTATACGTATTTTCTTGAAACTAAAATTAGGCATAATTCACCCTTTGATATCTCACAAAATGATTTTTAATGAATTATTAGAAACCTTTAATCCAATCATTTTAAAGTCAAAATATTTTAGAAGCTGCAAATTTCAAAAAATTTGAAGTAAAATCTAAGTTTTGATTTTTATTCTTAAGAATTTTAATTTTCCAATATTTTATTTGAATCCAAATGGGAGTCATTTCCTTATTACACTTATGTTTTTAAGTTTACCTTAAAATAAAGAAATGTAAATAAGTGATGTGCTGGCAAGCCTCCTCAAATTAAATCCCTGGATTTGCAGGCTGTAGCTGCTCTCTTCTTCTAGATCTTTGGTCCAACCGGCCGACTGCCATAACCACCCCCGATGTCCACCGCTGGTTATCTTACGCCTACAAACTGTAGCTACTCTTGTAGCATATGGGCGAAGAAGGGAAAGCCAACATGTGAAGTGTTAGAAATATATCATCGTAAGGCTTGAGATGTAAAAAATACTATTTTAAAAAATTATTTGTTTTATTTTGGGAAAAAGAACATAAAATCTTTTTGAGATATGTCAAGTTTATTAAAGATTGGTATATCTATATAAATAAATCCGAACATCTTTTTGAGATACATCAAGCTTATAAAGATTGGTATATCTATATATATAAATTCGAACGATCAGTTCCAATATTTGTATTTTAGTAGTTAAATGCAAAATAAACGATCAAATTATTTAAAATAATTGTACTGTTTTTATATCAATTCAAAAAATAAAAATAAATAAAGAGAATTATTAACACTTTTTTATTTAAACCAAGTCTTACGTTCAAGTCCAAGTCTTTTAATGTATATATAAATATACATATATGGCTCACATGTAATAACTCATTTAATAAACTAATAACATATTTAGAAAGAAATTGATCGTATTAATAAACACACTTAATTTCTTATAATTTCCAGCCTGTGATTCTATTCACATCACAAACTACTCAATATAGAGCTCAATCATGCAACAAGCTTTTACTTCCAAGGAGTGGTCTTGATAACAGTTAGAGAGTTCTGTGAAATGACAAGGAACAAGAGGTGGAGACTGATGCGAATAGAGAGTACGTTTTTCTAGTTTACAAGAATCGTCTCTCCTAGGCCTGTTCACGGGCCTTGAATCGGATCGAACCGAAATCAGATCACTAATTCTAATCCTGAAAAATGATGAACTGGGACTGGAACTTTAAAGGTTGGTTCAATTTCGATTTTGATTCATCACAATTCCGGTCCGAGTCTGGTCTGGTTCACTATTCCCGTTCGTTGGTGATTCGTTCCTAGTTTGTTCACAGTTCTAATTCTGTTCCAATTCATTTGTAGTTTGTTTCCAGTTCGTTCGTAGTGCAGTTTGGTTTGATCCGGTTTGATTTTGCGAAAAAAATTATATATTAACTTATAAATATTTTTGGATTATTAAATATTTTTCAAATATTATAAATATTGAATCTTATAAATATCTTTCAAATATTAAAAAACAAAAATAATTAAAAAAAAGATTTTGAACGAGACCATGACAAAATTAAGAGAAGAATTCTCATAAATCTATTGTTCAATTACATAAGATAACTTGAACTTGCTACGAGTAGAACGATGAGCCGCTAGGTCCATGTGATTTGATCGACTAATAGTAATTGTCAAATACGTGGTGATATTTTTGTTTCTTTCAATTTTTTAAGGTAGATTATTTTGTAAATTGAGAAAATTTATATAATTAAGCTTTTTCAGACTAAGTTGGCTTTAATTTTAATTAAATTTTTACTTAAGTGCATTGCCTTCAATTTATGGTTTAAAAATCTAGAAATGAAAGTTCACTTATTTATTATATTAAAAGTCTAATTTAAGAGAGAGAGAGGAAAAAATTAAGAGTCAGAGTTATAATCTCTAAATGAACCTTATAAAATGTTATAAATAATTTTAATTTTTTATACAAAATCAAATAAAGAATACAACTCTTTGAATTTTCTTTCCTCAACTAAATCAACAAAAGAAACATGTTTTTCGCAAATTAATGAAATTACTAATTCTATTTGCGATTTTAAATTTTATAAACTTAGCTTGCTCGACAACCCTCCAAAAAGAAAAAAGAAATTTTTTGGATCTAATTTTTTTTTTAATTTTTAAAGAAAATATAGTCAATTAGTAAACATGTTTGAACTAAGAATGACAAATTGTTTGTATTTGTTTTATAAAATTATTTTCTCTTTTCAAAAAATAACCATATTTGACATTATTTTTATTAAAAAATTTTTACAAAAATCATATTATTATTTTCAATCAATTATAAAAGTAATAAGATGAAAAAAATTAAAGAAATATAATACTAATTTTCACAGTTTACGATTTATACACGTTTTTGATTCATGATTCACAGTTCATGATTCATACACAATTCCAGTTCATTGTTCACTCACGGTTCATGTTCATGCTTTATGGTTCACGGTTCATACACAATTCGATTCACGGTTCATGATTCACAATTCACTTATGATTTTAGTTCACGATTCAAATCCAATTCAATTAACACGGTTCCATCCGATTCCGATTCACAGGTTCTAGTTCAAAAAATTATGAATTTAACCAGACCAATTACCCTCACAGTTTAGAACCATACTAAACTAGATCTTGCCAGTCCGGTCTGGACCGATTCAAGGTCTAGACTATAACCATGAACGGCTTATTCTTTCCTATTGACTACTCCCCACCATTCATGATCCTTAGCAGTTCCTTCCCTGTACCCCTCTGTAACAGTTTATTAGGTTAGTTGATTACACATTGTCCGAAATTTATATAAAAAGGGACTATTAGGGGTGTTTCTGTTTCGATTTGGTCCAGTTTGAGACTTAACTCTAAATCAAATCATATATTACTGTTTATAAATTTTTAGAAGATAAATCAAATCATGAACCCTTAAGAACGAAATCAACCCAAATCCCGATTCATGTTAAATCCACCAACCTTTTTACCAAATCTTTCGTCTCTATATAATTACATATTTACAGCAAAATTAATTAGATTTAATAATTAAAAAGAATAGTCACCAAGAAAATTCAATAAATTAAATATAGATTTAGTATGTAATAATCAAAATTAAAAGGTTATTTGAAAGAATTGGAAGTTTGAGGATTATAACAAAAAAGGACAATAAGAACAAGAAAAAGAGTTTGGGAATTGAAATGATAGAATAAAGAAAGTAGAAGGATTAGAATAAAAATAAGAAAAAGTTGAAAGACTAAATTATAAATTCAAACATAATTTGTAGTTTGATTCAGTTTATACAATTTAATTTGATAATCAAACCGTAAACCAAACCGTTAACTAAAATATGATCTAAACTGAATTAAATTAAACTAAAGTAAATTATAACTTACATAAAACTAAATTAAATTTCAGTTTGATTCGATTTATTCAATTTAGTCGGTTTGATGTGGTGAGAGGAGCACTCTTGGCCATTCCTTGAGTATTGCAAAATTTTAGAATAAAGAAAAAACATTCTACCGAAGTACCATCTTGCTCCTACTGTGTAATGTGAATTGAGGCGATAAGAGTGCCAAGTGGATGAAGGCGGACTTGAGTATTGAGTTTTGGGTATCCGAGTGTCCTGCGAGAAGCGTAAAGTCAAACGCCGAATGCCGAGAGTTATGTGGAGAGATTTGCCTCTTGACACTAGGTCACAAATTCAACCCTCGTGACATAACACTTTATAATTAGCGGGTAGATGAAAATGAATTTATAGCTGGTTAATTCTTGCTAGTTATCCCCCTGATTTAATTTTTTATTTACTACTTTGCACAACATATTTTCAAAGAATTAATAAATTAACTGCTAGTATTAAACGGCTTCCAACCCATATAATACACCCGCATATTTCCCGGTCCATCTTTGACAAAATACAAGTCTCTCATCTTCTGGAAGGCGTGCCATGTCAGCAGACTATCCGACCCGGCCTGGTGGCATTTGCCCGCGGCCCGCTCCACCTGAGCATCCGGGCCACCCGATCCAACCCACCGTACAAGCTATTGCAGAACCTCATCAGGTGCTTCACGTCGTACACCTTGTCTCCAAAGAACAACCTCAGCGTTCCCAAGAACGCCTCCAGCCCACTCGGTAGCGCTCGGCGCGTGAGAATCTTCACCAGGTATCCAAAATCGTACGCGCTGTGGAACGTCACCCAACTCACCGAATCGTTGCACACAAGTCCTGACGACATCATCAACTCGGCGAAACGCACCGAGTCGATTCCTTCCGACTTATTCCGAGCGAAGTCGATGCCCTGGCGGCGGAGCAACTCGATGGAGTCCGGCGCGTGGATATCACGGTCCACGTCGAAATCCATGAAGTTGAACTCCCAGATGAAGCCGCTCTCGCCGGTGCCGAGGTCCGGCAGGTTCCCGGCGGCGTCGGAGAGGGTGAGACCGAGTTGGATCAGGTTCAAGGCGTCGACGTTTGATTTCAAAACCTTGTAGAGATCCGACGGCTGGAGGCGCCGCCGGTGGTACGGTTGGTCGGCAGTGCTGATCGGCTTGAACACAACTCCGGGGAACTCGGTGTCCATGGAAATATAGGGATAGCTCTCAATCAGATTCCGTATTAGCTCGAACTCGGACTCCAGATTGCCTGACCAGACTTCTCGGATCACCACGGGTTTGGGTTTCTGAACGCCGTCGTCGCCTGTCATATTGTTTCTGTGATTAGTATTAACTCCCGCAACCTCCTGCTGTTCCTATCTGAGAGTGAGAGAGAGAGAGAGAGAGAGAGAGGCGAAGTGATGATTGTTGTACTAAGAAATTTGAGGGTGAGTGGCGTGGAGAGAGAGGGGTTTTTTTATATGAAGCGGTGAGGGGCGAGGACTCAAGACGTTGCCTGGAAAAGGGGGAATGAAGACGAAGACGTGCCTTAACTGCATTAAATAATAACCAGACTAATATGGAAATAATATAAGGATAGATACAATTTGGTCCTAAGTTATCATCTTTTCCGTTTTGATCCTCAAGAGTAGACCTTTCCAAGTTGGTCAGTTTTCCTCCTTGTTACTTATCTTCAATTTGGTCAGTTAGTCGGGACTCATTTAATAATAATTTTAATGAGTTTCAAAAATGTTGATCTTAAAAAAAAAAGTTAAGATAAATTAAAATTTGAAATTTCAGTTTAGATAAAATAGATTTAATTGTTTCATTATATTTCATTTATGAAAGTGAGTAACAAATAATAAATGTTTAATTTACTTTAATTAAAAAAAATTATATAAATAATATTAATTTTTTATTTATAAAATTGACAGGAGTGTAATTAAACTCCTACTAAAAGGGGTAAATCTCTCTTAATCCTGTTTTATTTGATTTTATTCTTAAAAGTAATACCACCATCCTCTTTAATAGAAATATGGACTTCACACATATACACTAAGTAAGAAAAATGACACTACTTGTTTCAAATGATTAGTTAGACCGAAAACATTTTATTGGGATGTCCAAAATATATTCTTTTAATGATTTAATTAGAAAATTATTATATTTTAATCTTCTAATCTAACGATTCATTTTTCTCTCAACTCTTAGCACCAACTTCAAAACTTTTAAAAAAATTGTTCCTAAAATAAAAAAGGAAAGAATATGTGAAAACGTGAAACAAAATTATGTTGAAAGCAAGAGCACATCCTACAAAAAAGAATAAATAAATAAATAAATTTATTTGTCATATTAGCCTTCAAACGCTGGAGTTTCTGCAATTTTAGGTACCAAATTGGTGAAATTTGTAGTTTAAGGGTCAGAATATGAAAATATGACTACAGTAAGGACTACCCGGAGAGAGAGAGAGAGAGATTGTGCGCGTTTTAACGTCTGCGTGGTGGCATGGGAGCGTTACATGGGGAGGGGGAGGGCATAAAGTTGACCAGGTTGGGCGAAATTGACTGGGAAAGTGTTGTCCAACTAGTGAAGCGATGACCAATATTAAAAGTAACTGCCGAGGACTTAGGACTCGGTCTACTTTCGTCTCCACTTCCTTCGCCTTTCCAATGGCAATCATCCACCTATTATATATGCTCATTTACTTATTTAAACATATTTTATCATATATTTACATCCATACCAGACTCATTTGCACAATACACTCTTGAATTCTAATTTTTACACTTTACACTCTAGCAAGACAAAGAATCAAATGGTGCTAAGGTGTAAAATGTAAAAAATTAAAATTTAAAAATATATTGTACAAATTATCTTACATACCATTGCAAAAATTATAGAGGCGCATTTTAGTAAACTTTATATATCAACAGTTGATTGGATATTATTTTACTATTTTTACGTCCTTTTATATCATATAAATACTTCTTTATTTGATATATGTACATTTAAAATTTTTAAAGTTAGAGATAATATTTCTCGAAAAATTTCAATCTTCTATATGTCTAAAAAGTAAAATAATCCTACACTAAGAGATAAAATATATTCTTGAGTTAAATTATTTCAACTCAACTAATAGGAGAAAATTTATAATTATCTAATCCTAGGAATAATAAAAAATTAATAACAAATATTCATTACATGGTTAGTCTACTGTGACTTTATATATACAATCTATAACAACAAAATACAAATAAAATAAAATAACTTCAATATGGTCTTAGCATTCAAATTCATTACAATTCAAAGTTATATCTTTTTCTTCATTTAATTTAATTAATAAAAAAGAAAAGTCTAAAAAAAAAGTAAAGTTAAAATCTCACTTCATTTATAAATATCTTTCATAATATTGAAGAGTATTATTTTCTTGATTTATTAGGTGAGAGGATTTAATATTTTTTGAATTAATATCAGAATCAATATTTAATACAAATACAATTATTATTAGATTCATTGGTTAATTAAGTCAGAATTTACTATCAAATATATGTGTTCTTTACGAGCATGTGCATAAACAAATTTAGCGTGGGAAGTGGATCACTTGGCCTATTATTCTTGTCTAAATTAGAAAAATTTATTAGAAATATGAAATAAGAATATCATGAAAGAAAAATAAAAAAGTAGAAATTATTTATGCTGACGTAATTCAATCATCGTAGCTACGAGAAGCAGCCAACTAGCAGTGCTATATTATCTGAAATTATAGGTCCATTTGATGTTAGGTGCTGTCCTAGTAAGATAACACCCAGTAGATCAATAAGAACAGTCATATGTCCAACTCTTTAATATTAATATTTATTTTATATTAATCAAATAATGAAAAAATTATAAATATAATATCAAATATTAAATAATTAAAATAAATTTATTTAATTTTTTTATATTTTAAAATAAAAAACATAAAATTTAATATAAAAAAATTACGCATACAATTGTTTTTTATTAGTTTGTTGAGTTCTATCTTATTAGAATAACATATTAAATAATATCTAATATCAAATAAATTTATTAAAATAGTATCTAATAAAATGGAGTACGTCATCAAATAGGCCAGTAAGATAACACATGGTATCGTCATAGATTATGTGAGGAGCGTGGAACGCATGTGAAATACGGTGAATATTCTAATCCTCCTAGTTTATTATTCGTTGTTTGTGGTGTTTTCCTCGTGGGCAGGCGTCGAGGGAGGAAGGTCCCAGGCAGTTGTCCCTTTTGCTTTCACCGCCTGCTTGATGTCTACGTCAGATATATAATTTTGAATTTTAAAAATGTTTAATATTTCTAAAATTAATCGAGAGGTTCTGAATTTTAATTTTCTTAAAAAAATTCTATATTAAAATTTTTTATATCAAAGATCCCATCCCATTGTTGATCTGTGATCAAATGCTGGGTGAATCAGGGAGCTTTTGCAATTTTTTTTTGGATTAATGTAGATTTTAGAATTAATTAGAAAATGATTCTCAAAGAAAAAGAAATCATAAAAATGTTTTTTAGGCAGTAGTTAGCACCGTCCGTTCAAGTCAACGGTCTCGGTCTCGGTCTCGTAGGTTTGCTTGGGCGGAGGTTTGAAATTTTGAAGGCTGAGTCAGAGAACTAAAATAGCATTGTGTTAGGATACTTTCTTTCTCTTTCCAATAAATACTTGGAAGTGAGGCAATCATTAAAAGATAATGAGATGGCATAATTAATATATTTGATTAAGGATTTTATTAAAATCCAAAGATCTAATAAAAAATTGAAGTTAAAAATTAGTCTCCTTGATTGCGAGAGATTTTGAACTTTTATATTTTTTTTTTTGAAACGTATATATTTAAATTTTTGAAAATAATTCTTAAATTTTTAAAAAAATATTTAGCGTATCAAAAGTCTAAGTTTGGACGGTAATTGCAAGAATTTAATTATACATCAAATTTTATAATTAAGTTGTTTGGGTTAGGATCTTTTTGAGTGATAATAATTGTAAGAAACTATTTGAATTGTGATATTTCTGGATTATATGTTTTGCAAAATTGCTTGGATAGTCTTCATATAAATTGGAATCGACGACTGAGATCTAATTAATGTGAATTAAAGCTTGATTGGCCATTGATAAACTCCACGTGTGATTGTGGAGGTGAAAGAGGGTTTCCGATTCACAGTAATTGGGCATCGATTACCAACTCCAAATGACTCGTTGAGGTTCGTTGCTCATTGAGAGATTTTCTATGTAAACCAGGAAGACTGGCCAACTGACCTTTTTCGTCAATTACGTGCTATAGTCCTATGCCACCAGTTGTTTCAGTCAAGAAACAAATACATGAACAATTGGGCTTCGTGCAATGAACGACAACGACAGGGTTAACAATAGTGGTTGGAAGGTAGTGTGCAGTGGTCACCAATGTTGAACGATGGTTGCGGTGTATGTCTCAACATCCAAGTGGCATCCGATGCTCGCCGTCGGACAAGCCGGTGGGGTCAAGGATAAATTAAGTAATTAAAATTGTGATTACAGGACACCAGTAGGAGTGGAACTCTAAATTTCGAAATTTAGGAATAAAAAACTCAAGTCATGTAGCTAGACTTGTGAGTCAACCAAACAAATCTAAAAATTAGACTTTAAATAACAATCAAGACTGCAGACAAAGCCATAAAACATGACCGAGATTATTTAAAACGTTTGAAAATTTAAAGTTGTTTATAACAAACATCAGTAACAAGAGAGAGAGAGAGAGAGTGTCACCAAACTTGGTCAAACAAAGGATGAAGACCGAAGAGGGGGAAGGGCCCAACTCAATCCTACAAATTAAAAATCAGTTATCAATGACTAATCAACTGGTTGAATAGTCAGATGTTGAGTCCTTACTATTATTGTAGAGCACGGACCGCTGATTTCTAGGTCAACTTGATGACTGGGTCGAGTTAAAAGTGGAGTGGCACGCAACACTTCCATTTAAATTAATTAAATTAAAAGAAAAAGAAAACATTTTCCCTTTTTGGGAAATGATTTAAAGAAATTTGTTTTTTTGACTAATTTATTTTATTTTTTAGACCCACTCAACTCAGAAAGCCACCACACCACCCCGTGAGTGTCCAAAATTTTCTTCTTTGAGAGAAACTAATAACTCTGAACGGGTCAAAATCTTCTATCAAAGAAGATAAGAGCTTTAATTAAACTCCAGCTTTACCCATCATTTTCCAACAAAAGAAAAACAAAACACAAAGAAATTTAAAAAATCTTTGCAAATCTTAATAACATGTGCAAATTTTGAACCGATTAAATGAATTCTAATAATACTCCAAATTAATCTTTTATTCATTGAAGCTAATAAAATTTCTATGTTGCCCTCATGTGCTGCTATTTTTTTCTTTTCTTTTTTTTAGATTTGGACTCTGAGAGAGAGAGAGAGAGAGAGAGAGAGAGTCAACTGACCATTCTCCTTGATGATTAGGCTTTGGTTGTGCAATTTGATTCTGCTCTCATTGCCTTCGCCTACCCTGAGAGCAATCAGCCACCTACCGTGAGAGCGATCAGCTGTGCTAAGTCAGACTATAGGGGTGTTTGCAAATCTTTCTACACAATTAAAAAATGAAAATTTAAAATAGAAATGGGTAAAAATAAATTATAATTGGAAGTTGATTATTTGTAAAATATGTTATAAAATTCTCGAAAGTAATAAAATAAGTATTTAGAATATAATTTTTGTAATTTGTTTTAGGAAAAGAAAGAAATTTGAAAAAAATTTAATGATATAATTTTAGATTAAGAAAAAAATTGAAAAAATGTCCAAAATAATTTCTACTTATAAAATTTGTTTTTAATTCTTTTTCTAACCAAAAGTTAAAAGTAAATTTCCAAACACTTTAAAAGTAATTTTATACATTGAAAAGTTTAAAATTACTTTAACAAGCCATTGCAAAATATACCTCTATCTCAATGACATATTCTCCTAGTTTCGTCCATCATCCTCTATGTGGCTTAGATGCAGTCACTTCATACTACCTTGATAACTTCTCATACAAACATATGTGACCTGCAGTGTAATCTCTGCCAAAAGAACCACTCCTTTGTCAGATACAGGAAGTAAATCCATTCGGTATTTTTTCCTAATCACCTCCAAATTTCATGTTCTGGGTAACTAGGTATCCTGTCAATAACTCAAAAAATAAATGGAAACTAAAGAATAGAAAACAAACATGAGCAATTCAAACATATTCATAACTAGAATTTAGCAAATGATGAATTTATCCACAAGCAAAGATATGTAATATTCTTGCAGTGGAGTTTTCTTTCTTTTTCTTGCAGAATCTGAGAATGTACCTACAATAGAATGCATAGAACTGGCACGAACGTTAATGTGATTGCAATATATCTGTTCAGGAGAACTTATATCCCGAGTATTAAGTAATATACAATCTCTTAAAGATCAAAAGAAGCTGTTCTACGGATCTGTTAATTGTCTAGATAACAAAATGTTAACCAATCAAACTCTATATAATTACAACTTCACTACTTATATTACAACTTCATCTGACTCCACGGTCAACTGGGCATGGTCTGATAGGAATAGTTCTCCGGCCACATCCCCATTTCGACCTCTGAGGGAAGAAACATAGCTTTACTGACATTAAAACCAATACCAGTAGCAACAGTAAGAGCATCAAGCGGTTCTTCTGTTTGTTTCCTATTTCCATCACCATCTTCCTCCGGTTGGACCAAAGTGCAAGGGTTCCATGCCCTCTACAAAGAAAGACACAGGAAATAATTCAACAAGGAAACATAATCATATGACAATACTCTGCAACTAAATAAAGACAGATTATATAAGTACATATATATAAAAAGAAACTACATACTGCAAAGTCTGATGAATCAATAAAACCATCTCCATTGGTGTCCATATGCTCCCACAAGTCCTTTATTTCTTCAGTGGTTAGGCCATCTTCAGGGTGATTGGTTAAGCCCAACTGTCCAATTAAAACGAGCGAGCGAGCGAGCGAGAGAGAGAGAGAGAGAGAGAGAGAGAGAGAGAGAGATGTTTTCCTTCAGATAACCTGTAGGTATTAAAGCATAACAGGTACAATTTAAAATATAAAACATTGTTGAGATTTTAATAGGATAATACTGTTGCAAAAACTTGAGAGAACTGTGAATAGGTGATTCGACTGCCATCAGTTTCAAGAAAATCAAGTGCACTAATGCCATTTGTTGACAAACCATCCACCAAATTCTGCAGGATGAAGAAAAAGGGAAATTCAACATATTTGAAACATATAATTAATGAATCATCATGATAGAACCAATCAATCAATCATCCTACCTACCTTAATGTTCCCAACAACTGCTTCTGTAAAGCTTTCTTTGAGTGGCCTCCGGGGTTTGCTAGGATTGCGGAGCCAAATAAAGTCTACTCCACATGCATTGCCTCTGTGGTTATGATGACTAATCCACTGCAAAAGAAACCATATATTCAGTAACTTCATTTGTATTTCGTTCGTAAACGCACACCATTCAACCAACCTTAGAGATTTCCTCATGCTCATCTGTGCAAGGGTGAGCGATATCATATGATGAGACAAAACCTTGTGATTCTAGAAATTTGTAAACATTTCCCTTCTTGCTGCCATTCCAATCCCTACAAAAGTTTTGCAGTAAAAGATGACTAAGAGATATTTTCCCTCATTTGTGTGTGTGTGTGTGTGGTGTGTGTGTGTGAGAGAGAGAGAGAGAGAGAAGAGAGAGAGAGAGAGAGAGAGAGACTGAGAGATTATTATCTTATTAACTTCTCAGGTTGCTTGAAGCTTACCCACATAAAATGATAGGAACACAGGGGAGCTGATGTTCATGACAATATGAATCTAGATAGTGTAAAATCTTGCAACCTTTGAGAAGAAAATAGACAAGGTAAATATTGTCACAGAACTTCCAATTAAAAAAAAAAAGTGGAATTTGGATCCATTAAAAAATGAAAAATAGAGATAGTGAAAGTCATCACCTGCTGCAGTCGGACAAAACAATAACTAGAATCATGGGGAAAATTAAGTGAGTATTCACAAGAAGAACATCCTTCTGCACACCAGTATATTGGCTTTGAGAAGAAGGAACTAGTAATTCAAGATGTAGAAGCTGGGCTACACGATCACCTATGTCATTAAATAGAAATTCCTGGTGATTCAAAACATGGAAGTGGCTCTGGTGCACCGCTGTGAGTAGACCTGTTATCAACACAATTAAACGATGATCAAGTTCCTTTTTACATACAAAATAAGTTCCAAGTCTCAGTTCACATGAAATGACAAACATTTCATAGTGCACTAAGATCACTCTTTTTTAAGGATCAAACATAGTTTGCTACAACTAAGATATCTTGAATTTTAACACAATTAATGGTATCACCATTATAACTTCTAAATCCCTTAGTAATCTGGATAACTATTCTATTTAATATTCAATAGACTCAATTTACAACACAGCTTGCGAGCTTGGAGTACTCTATACAGTATCCTGCAGTATTCTTTTGGGAAAAGAATTTTCCTATTCCTAGGGCTGTTAAGAATTTGTGAAGAGTTGAATAAGTAGTTTAGTATAGAAGAATAGAAGTTTGCTGCCCAAGGTTGACTGCTCCTAATTGGCTGAGGGATCTCCATTTTATTTGTGTTAACAGATGAGATCTGGGATTTGATTTCTGTAGTCATAGTGTGAGAGCATGAAACTGAAGTGACAGTGGAAAATTTCTCGTATTTTAGCAATGTTTTTCTTAGTGTATATTTGCAGACTCATTGTGTGTATTAGCGGAATCTAAATGTATTTTAATTATCTGTATTTATATCACACCGTGCCAACTAACCTATTCATTGAGCAGATCATGATGGTCAGAAGAGCCATAACACACACACAAACACACGCACGCAAAAGAGAGATTCCTGATAACAGATGAAATTCAGTTTAAAAGCTTTGTGTCTGAGGTAGCAAAAGCTTCAAGAGCCACAGCCCTCATGGTGCACTTGCGAGGCCACATTGGGTGACTTTCTAAAAAAGATTGGTAAAAACTGAGGTTAGGTTAATGCACCTAATGTGAAAGCCAGTATTCCAAGTTATTCTCCTCAAACGTAATCTCCCTTTTTAGTTCACTCGGAAATAGGATTTAAGCCTGTCAAGGTCAATTCATTCAATCTCACATATACGGACTTGTCATGCAAACTGACACCTAAATATTGATTTCCTTCAAGTATCTAATGGAAATTGAAATCTCGCAAGTAGAATCTAAGGGCCATGTCAATAAATTCTATTCCAAGTCCACTCAAGGAGAGAATTTTATGTGCAATTTAATAATGACCATGCAACAGGCTGACCTAGGAAAACAAATTTACACAAAATAAATAAATAAATAAATCTATATCATGAAACTTATAGATTTATCTTTCTATTAGCCACTTGCTAAATATGTTTGCACTACAAAAATGACTTAAAACCTCTACTTTACAGGTTCAACAATTCTTAGGAAAAAAATTACCCCACAAAAGCCATACTCCTTAAATTCCAAGACAGAAAAATCTCCTTAGTTGGAAGAAAATTTAAAAATGCAGTAACTAAAGCTAAGAATGTTGAATCTTCTATGGATTCCCTAAAAATGCCCGCAATCTGTAATATTGTCAAGCCTTCTTACTTAACCTTATCTCTTCAGCAAAAGGAAGGTCCCTTGCTCCATGGATAGAGAGAAAAATAGCTCAAAATGCAATTCAATGTCAGAAGTAGGTCTACTAATCCATAAGCAAACACATTGTGCAAATGGAATTTCCTGATTCTAATATTTTAGGAGTTAATAATTAAAACACTGTAAGCATAATATTATTTTATTTTTTACTAAGGGCTTGTTTGCAGGAGCTGCTACTTCTAAAGAAGTGCTGAAAAATAGTAATAGCTAAAAAAGTGTTGAAAGTATAAAAGTTGGGATGTTTGTAAATTCTGCTGAAAAAAAGCAGAAGTTGATAAAGGGATGTTTGGTAAAATAGTTGTAGTAATTGCTTATTATGTTAAAAACGTCTAAATTGCCCATTCCTTTAAGAGGTGATATATATATATATATATAATATAAATAGTCCATAGAACAAATTCTCTGAGGTTGTAGATACAATTATAATGTTATTAAGATAAAAAATAAAAAATATATTCATTATTTATATAAGTTATTAATAATTTTCAATAATTTATATCATTACCTTTATATAAACTATTAATTTTAAAACCTAATTCTTACTATTCTTGTTTCCAATATAATTTTACTTCCAATTTAAACATATAGTTTTACTTTTTAAATTTTAATTTAATTATTAATTTAGTCAAAATAAATTAATCGTAGAATAATAAAAAAATTAGGGGCATATTTAGAGTTTTTGTGTTCTTAATTGGTAAGTGATAAGATGGGAATTCAATTAAAATATTGGAGTATGTTCGTCAAACACTATTTTGAATTATTTAAAAATATGTCATTAGCTACAAGAAGCAGGTCTAACTATTTTCTGCTGAAATTTAGATAAAAGTAGCCCAGAAGTAAGTAACCCAAACAGGTAAAAACTGCTGAAAAATAGATAAAAGCAGAAAACTACTAAAAAAAAAACTTGTACAAACAGAAACTAAGTGACATTCCAAAATAAATGCCTTAGTGTGAGCGAAACCATTATTTAAAGTTCAAATTCCAAATGAAAAACAACTGGAACTAGAATTGACCGTTAAGTCGTCACATAAATTCATTACAAGTCCCTTCAATTCAATTTTTCTTCTTCTCTTACTTTCTCATCTCTTCATCCAAGGGGATCCCTTGCAATATGGCTAGCAAACATTCAAGATAATGAAGCATAGTGAAATCAACATGATGCAAAATGATTCAGTATCTATTTAATTAGCTCCATCAGACTTCTCTCTGTTATACCAAACCACCTTGGTTGATATGGTTATCTGCTATGTATAAGCCTTCCCACATTCTTTCAGATTTTACAAGGTAACATCAGAAGTAACATCGCAACATCAATCTATTTACAAAAAACATTTCCTGAAGCAAATTGCTGACTCCAAATTATGGAGCTTTTTAATTGAAAACTTAGTAAGAACAACATGTCTTCTACTCAGTAGAATATGCAGAATACTGATAAAAGACTACACAATGACATTGCCAAATCCATGCCACAAATGATTAGCTCACATATGTAGAAAAGAAACAACAAAAACTGTAACTGACTGTTGAATTATTAATATTGATTTTTTATAATGCAGAGGACTATAAAATGACTGCAGTACAGTATAAGGCAAAGAAAGCTCCTAATTCAAGTAACAACATTGATCGGATTGTAAGAACTGACATGGAAATTGGGAAGGGTGAAATGGTTAAGAAGAAGTCATAATGAATCACAAAGAATTATCTAGGAATTCCCTCACAGAGCAAGACAAAAGCCCTTAAATTTAACAATTCCCTATATCTCGAAGGTTGTCTGTACAAACTGAGTGGAAGTCAAATAATGCAAGCCCCTCAGAAACGTTGGACAACTACTAGAACATTTAGAAGCAAAGAAACTAACAAAGACATTTACAATAAGACCAATCAAGTGGAAGTTAATGTACCATCTCCCCTGTTATTTGTTCGTGCAAGTTTGTATGTCACGTATCCTGTATCTCCAAGCCTCTTATCATACAGTTTGACAAGTTCTTCGTTATGCACCCAAATTCCTAATCCAAAATAAGAAGATGATGTGCCGAAGTGTGAAATTCTACAAACAAATATATGCAGATTATCATCTCAAAGTCATCAAGAATATACCTGTAGACATATAATTGAGGAACTTAAGTTGAGCAACCCATCCAGTATGCTTATATTCCGACCAAGCCAAATTTCACGGAACTCACTCTCACAATTCTGATAAATCAATACAGTAACATTAAATCATTAAGGAACATTTGAAATCCTAATCTAGAAGAACCTTAAGAGTTACCTTGCCGTTCAAACGTTTGTAAATGGGTGCAAGAATATTGAAAGTGGTACAAGAAACAGTCCCAATGGAATCCGAACTGCGAGGCTGCTGCTCTTGATCGCAAAAACCTTGATTTGACCGGCCCATTGGCTCACATACACTCATTGGACAAGGCGGAAAATCACGTGTGTTGTAGAACTTTCAACAAACAGTTCATATGAAACGCCCAATCTCGCATGTATCTGTGGCAGAAATTTTTACAGTCAAAAAATGGTTCTGGGTTTCGGAGGAACTTGTCTGATAATGCAAATTAGGACGAGAAAAGTTCAGGATAGGGGAATAAATTTTTGACGGGTTACACAGAGAGAGAGAGAGAGAGAGAGTTGATTTCACGCGTCCGAAAAAGAATCGCAGGCAAGATGCAGTTTGAGTTGGAGATGGAGCGTAATCATGCTTTACGAAATTACTGAAATTTCAAGTGATTATGGTTTACGGACTAGAAGATTCTTCACCAGGGTCTGATATTTCCAGTAAGACGTTGTAACTGTTTGTACGTGTTATTTTTTAATTATTTTTAAACAATTTTATCGGTTTGTATTATTATTTTTGTATTATTTTTTAAATTTTACTTAAAAATAATTATAAGGAAAAGTAGTTAATCTCATGTTTCTTGCAATTAATAGTATAATTTGTCACGACCCGGGCGTCGGATCCGTGACCGGCGCTAAGGTTAGAACGAATTCTAACCCAGCAAGCCTATCAAACACGAAACTGAAAATTTCATAAATAATCATAATTTCTAAATCAAAATCTGAAATATGAAACAATCATCAAAATATGTTCCTACACTGAAAACCTGTCTGTGATCCCAGAGCTAACTAAAAGAAACGAAATAGTACATCAGAATGAAATAGAAACTAACTACTATCTCGAGAACTGAATCAGATGGTCAAGATCGATCGACTCCTATCACGCAGCCGGTCCGTCGGTAGAGTCGAACCTGAGTCTAAAAAATAAAAGAATGAGTCTATTGACTTAGTGAATAATAATACATATTTACATGCGAGAGACGTATATCAAACATTTATTGTCTTAAAGTATAATTCTCAATTCATACAAGTTAGGGAGTTCGACACTGAGAATCATACAGAAACAGGACGGCAAACTCATCGTATGCCGATATACAGATATCAGGACGGCGACTCAAAGTCTGCCGTAAATCAATAAACAGGCCTACCACATCAGCCACACGTGATAGTCTAGCACCACCCCTACTAGCTGGGGATACAAGCCAAGGTGCACCCAGTCTAACGCCTACTGCCGTTAGTTACAGTGTTCTTACAGTTCGACACTCCCTTAAAATCAATTATCAGAGTTTAACAGAATAAGTTAACTGTTATCAAGTTGTCTAAAGTATGTCAGTGTTCAAAATCAGGAGTTTCATAAGTTTTCTAACAAATCAGATAATGACATATATGTCCGTTGAATTTTTCTAACAATTTGATTCAAACTGAATAATAACTGAAATAATTTCAATTTATGTAAGAACAGGAATTCAAACAAGTATAAAAGCAATTTAAACATATAAATATCTACTATTACTCACAGAAACTGAGAACACGAAAATCGAGTTTCGACAATTCGGCTCCTCGAAAGTCAACCAATTAATCTAAAGATAATCAAAATATTCATTTTAGAACGTAGCATTTCTCAAAATTAAATAAAAAAGTAAATTATTCTCAAAAACCCAACCCTGTTCTTGATTTTCATGTTTTAAGCCATTTGGGAAATTTAAAGTCTCGAATCGATCGGTATAATACTGGACCGGACCTTTTACATATTGAACCGAACTTGAAACTTACTGAACTAGTGAGGAAAACCCCTGAACCGAGACAAAAACCCACTAATTCAACCTCAAAACCATTAAACCAGCATTAAACCCCTTAAACCGCCCATAAAACCCATTGAACCGGGCTTAAACCTACTAAACCGGCCTCGAAATACGTAAAATCAGTCATGAAAATTACAGAACCAGACTTAAATTTAAGGAACTAGTGACTAAGGGCCCTGAACCGGCAACAAATACGATGAACCGTGGTATTTTCAATTTTTCATTAATTTCTTAAGCATTGGACCGACCGGTTCACTATTGAACCGCCGGTTTTCACTTGAACCGGCCTGTTACTATGTGGATTATTTAATCATCTTCAAGTCAGTAGCCTAAACTGGCTCAAAAAGCCTTGAACCGGGCATTAATACAATAAACCGGTGGTTTTCTAATTTATTTATATTTTCTTTAACATTGGACCAGCCGGTTCACTATTGAACCTGCCGGTTTTCATCTGAACCGGCCTACGGTCAGGTAGGTAATTAAATTAGCTTCATAACAATGCTTTGAACCAGTCAAGAACCGGACCGGAAGCCACTGAACCGCCGGTTTTCTTATTTCTGTCTTATTTACTAATTTTCTAATTTTATTTTATTTTAATTAACTCTCTCGGCCGGATCCAGAATCTCAGATCTAGTCCCAAAACCCATTTGGCTAACTGGGCTGGGCCTGATTCCTGGCCCAATCCTCAAATTTTCGTCCGGCCCATAAACATTTGGGCTGCCCCAAATAAAATTAAATTAATAAAACAACCCAGCCCAAACCCATTAAATCGGGTCACTCCTAACCCGAATCTCCAAATGGATTTCGTCTACCTCACCCGATTTTTTGGTTAACCACTGAAGAAAAGATTCACAAATTACCTGGAATCCTAGCCAACTTCTGAGAAATTTTTGTTTGGATGATCCTCGTAATGGCAGATCGACGAACTCCGTTCAATCTGTTCCTTCGATCTACTTCAATCTGCCTGTGTTGGACCAGAATTCGTTGGCTTTGACAGACCGCAGCCAGACTTTTTTTTTCCTTCGAAAATCCCAGAAATCTGAGACTTGATTTTGAAATTGATGGGAACTTCTGTAACTCTCCAGCATTCGATCTAATTTATAAAGATAAAAACGAATCCAAACGGCTCCGAAAGAATCGAATTTTGATAACTTCTTCACTCATGGGTTCGTGGATCCGAACGTCTCGGACGTTCGGATCACTTCTAGATTTTTTTTTTATTAAATATTTACGTTGTGTTTTTACATAATTATAAATATTTTAAATTTTTGTTAGACAAATATGTTTTAATATTTTTATAATGATCCTATTTTACTCTTATTCAAATCAATAAAAATAATATTATATGACTATTTATTTTGATTAAATTAAAAATTAAATTAGAACTTAAGAATAAATAAAAATTATATATTTAAATTAAAAACAAAATTATTAATAACTCACATAAAAATTATTATTTAAATTATTAAAAATTATTAATAACTTATACAAATTATTAATAATTTATTTATTTTTATTTTAATAAATTTAAAATTTTCTTTTCAACCTAAGAAAGTTTATTTTATATCCTTATATATCACTTTTTTAAAAAAATAGCAATTCATGTATTTTATTATAATAAGCAATTATTAAAACTATTTTACCAAATATCAATTTATTAATTTTTATCATTTTTCAGTAAAATTTGCAAACATTCTCGACTTTTATATTTTCAATACTTTTTTACTATTTTTCAACACTTCTTTAAAAGTGATAACTCGCACAAACATGCCCATAATCATGCCGTCAATAATATTATATGTCAAAAGATTATGACTATTAAAAAAATGTGCAGAAATAAAGATAATGTTGTAACTTTTTTTTTTTATTATTCTTTCGGATTAGAGAAGAAAATGCCACAAGTCAAAACTTTGATTTCAATAGTGTATCAAATATTTGATGAAGTAAAAAGTGGATGCAATTTTATCATTTTTATTTAGTTAATAATTATTTTCATAAAATTGGTAATTTATATAAAGTACATAATAATAATTTTATAAAAAAAGCATAAAACAAAAATATAATTTTTACAAAAATGAATAAAAAATTACGAAGCTTGGAAAAGCCAGATAATAATTAATATTAATTATTTTTCCTATTAAATATATTAATGAAACTATTAAGGATAAGCATCGAAATGAGATAAGGATTCGTTTGGTTTAAAATTTGAGACAAAGGATTGAAATTTAAGAATAAAGTCAGGTATCGAGAATTTATTCTTATTCTTATTAATTTTTTACTATAAGATTGATTTCGGTGACATCGATTCTATTGTTATTAGATTTATTTGTTTGAGTATCATTCGCTTTTTTTATCCCAAATTGAACAAATATTATTTTTTTTAAAGATTAAAAGGCAGCTCATAAAGTTACGTCAACAAAAAATCACTAGGCTAAGATCTTATTTTTGTAGTGTTTAAAGTTTTAAATATTGAATATTTTAGTATTAATATTAAAATAATTAAGTGTTAGTTTTTTTAAAATTTAAGTTAATATACTATAATTAATGATAAATATTATTAAATATATTTAATTTTAAAAATACTTATATTTAAAATATGACTAAAATCTATAAAATTAGTTTAAATTTTTTACATAATCTAATCACATAAAAAGTTATCAACTAGAAACAAATAATTTGAACCGCTTTGCCGTAAATTATTACTTAAACCAAGGACCCAAATCTAATTTCATGTTGAATTTGTTTTGTTTTGAAAAGAAAAATAAATCTATTAAATTTTTTTTTTTTTTTTTGAAATTGAAACCGCTACATGCCTTCTGCTATCCATCATAGATGGAAGATTGATCTCGCACCGACAATTAGAACTGTTTAACAAATCAAATCAAATAATTTAAATCAATGAAATCGTAGTTTTGATTTGAAGAGAGATTTTTTTTTATACTGATTGAATTGATATTTGACATTTAGGTAAATCATATAAATTGAATCAAATTATTAATTTATATATATACAATTTTAAAAAATTATATTTTTATATATATAGTTTATTATTATTATTTAAATACACATTTCTTCTTTTGTTACTTTTTATATTTATATTTATTCTAATAATTGATTACTTTTCTTTTCTAATTTTTATTTGTATGAGTTTGTTTAGTTAAACAAGTTGAAAAAAAATGAATATTTAATTTTTAAAAAAATTCTATCAAAATTTTTAAAAAATAATGGAATTAATTTATTTTATTTTATAAATAAATCATAATTTAAGATCAAATCAAATTATAAATTATAAATTAATTTAATTTAATTCATAAAAATTACAAACCGTAAAAGAATTTAAATTTCAACATCAAACACAACCAAACCTACCATGACCACCACTATAGTCCATTCTAAGAGATTTGTAGGTGGAATAAATGTATGCATGGCTATGGCCAGAACTCCTGATGGGTTGGATTCGGGCCATTTCATGATAGATCTGAATTTGAATTCGATAATAATATATTATATTCGAATCCGACCCGAGATAATATGAGATTTGTGATTACCATTACCATATTTGAATAAAAAATTTAATATTCAAAAAAATAATCTGAATCTGAATAAGAAAATTTCTTAATACAAAAATTATATTAAATATTATCTCATTTATACACACAAAAGTTAATGACAAAAAAAGAGAAATATATGATAAATGAAATATATAATTAGTATACTTTGCAGACATTATTAATCGAATTTTGAATAATTAAAAGTAATTATGAGTTATTCAATTATGAAAGAAAATAAAATATTAAAATTAATTATATCATATAAATTATTTATTTCTATTTAAAGTATTTTGTCTAATAAAAATTGTTTAATTTGATAAATTAAAATGTAGTGCACTTTATTTATTTTTTAAAAAATTTATTTACATATAAACATAATAATAGTTATGAGTGTATATATTGTATATATATAATATAATATTTATGTATGACATATTTATATATATATATATATAATCAGATTTGAATTTTTAACGAATCGAATTAGATAAGTTTTATACTCGCTCGGTTTATTTTAAATTATAAATTTTTTAATAAATTATGTGAATTAATTTTTTTATTTTAAAATTTTGAATAATTAAATTAAAATTAAAATGTAGTGCACTTTATTTATTTTTTAAAATTTATTCACATATAAACATAATAATAGTTATGGGTGTATATATTGTATATATATAATATAATATTTATATATGACATATTTTATTTATATATATATATATATAATCGGATTTGAATTTTTAACTAATCGAATTAGATAAATTTTATACTCGCTCTTTTATTTTAAATTATAAATTTTTTAATAAAATTATGTGAATTAATTTTTTTATTTTAAAATTTTGAATAATTAAATTAAATTAGATAAAATTTTTCCATTCTCAGCCGAAGCTGTGGCGGCGATAAGAGCCATCTCTCTCCTCTCAAGACCCCCTATCTGCCAGATGCTTCCACCAGGTTCCAGCTAAAGAAGGCGATGGATGCAATCACGCACTCCCTCGTTATTTCTTTGGTGGGTCAGCCTCCGCCTGTCAAGTCGACAATTTCATGTCCCCCAAAATTATTTTACGAAATAACAACTATTTATGTCGTTTCGTTACAGCATTTTCAAACGCAAATAAAATGTATATTTTGAAATTTTTGGGAACCACCGAGGAGAAGGTAAAACAATGCTTCCCATCATGTGTTTTTTTAAGGCAAAATTATCCTTAATTTTAGTAAATTTTTTAAGAATAACTTAATTAAATCATTCGCCTACAAAAGGTAGCAACACCCTCACATCAAAAATAATTTTTTTTTAAAGATTTCTCCATATAAACCACAAAAAGAAACTTAGAAATGTAAAAGAAAAACCCCCCAGACACGTTTGGAGAAGGATTTTTAAGGCTACAAGCAGTTTTGTGGTATTGGACAAATGACTTGTCAGGGCTTCTTTAATATAGTTGATATAGAAAAGCAGGAAAGGAAGAGAGTTATTTGCAGTGGCTTTTGGTGATGCTCAAACAATTTCGGAAATGATTATTTGCCTATCTACCAAATCTAAAAGTTGATGGAAATGGAAATCAATTTTCAGGCAAACCACTCTGTAGTTTTTACCCAGTATCAAAATACTTGGTTATAATTGTTATTAATTTTCGTACTTAACCTAGCATCTAGATTTCTTGAAATATAAAACAGGTCATTAATTTTTTTTTTTTCTATTCACATGGTTTTCTCTGAAATCTGAATGCCTTGAGAGAAAACAAGAAGTTTTTGGGACGCAAGACGGGTCAACGAGTGGAAACTAGATGAATTCTGGACAAATGAAACAGATCAAACCACTGGCAAGCTTTCCGACTTGAAAGAATTGCCAGAATACCTTCATATACCGAGATATTCAAGCCAAATATGCAATTACAGCAAAACCAGTCTCGTTTTTCCTAGCTTCATTTATGATCTCTACAACTTCTCATTCCACCCCCTACAAATTGAAAGCTTCTGCTGCAGCTGCTGTGTTTCCCTATCTTTCAAGTTCTCATTTATCAAGTAAGTGGCAACAGAAACAAGTAGATCATCTGAGCCTAGACATGACAATTGACATATATATGTGGAGGATTTTCACATTGTAATTGAGTAGCTTGGTAATGGGTTACAGTGAGGATATGCAACAAAAGGGAAGAAAAAAACAAAAGAAAGAAAAAGGAAAAAGCCTTGGAAAGACGGAACCAATATAATGCTACTAGCACATCTGTGGAGAACTTAGGTGTTTTCTAGCCCTCCAGAATCTGCTGTTATTCAAGCTCAATGATATTTCCACTCAGCGAGCTATCTGTGCCCTTAATCGTCTCATTATTGCTCCGACATTGTAGCAATTGTTCCCTAAGACTCCGCACAAGCTCGTTAAGTCTCTGAATGTTCTTTTCTTGTGATAAGATTATCTGCAACAAATGTGTACGTCAAACCGAAAGCAACATATTTCAAAAACTGCTCAATCATGTCACAGATTAACATCTCTCAGTTATAAAGAGATACTCTCACAAGAAGCCTGTGATAAGACATGCATCACAATAAAAGAACTGCCAAATTCCAACAGGACAAAAGACACTCCATAGTCTCAATTCTTACATCAGACAACAAGGATAGAATATTCTCCAAATGGACTGCAAACAGCGCTGGGTGTCCATCAAACAAGATATTGTATCCATGCATAGACACGTTAACACTTTTCTTCATTGCAATTAACTTTTTGCCAATTCATATTTTGCAGTTTGTTTGCCACCATGCCCACAAATCGTCCAGGTTTTGCCAATGTAATATTTTTAACCCAACTGACACCTTTCACATAGTACTACAGAATAGCGTTTTTTTCCAGTTGATAAGCACCCATTGCAATTACGCTAATAGCAGTTTCTTTCATTTTTGTTTCGAACTTAACAATGCATAATCTACTCATCTACAGCATTATGTTGATCAAAATTAAAAGATAGCTTAATAAAGAGTAAAAGTATTTCTTATTGTTCAAAATGCTGCAAGCATAGAAAATTAATTTATGGCTCACCAAAGGATCCTCTAACCAGAATTTGTTTCCATCTGGGATTTGCTCTCAAAAGTAAGTGAATTTATTATTTTCAAGGTAAATTCCAGTAAAACCAGGCATGGGAAAAATCTTGTTTAATGCAGAAAAACAAAGCCACTCAACTACCCGAGATATCTTTGATTGGCATAGGATACCGACTGTAAACACAAGCACCTCATTTATCAGCTGGAGGTGCTCCAAAAGCAGCCCATTTCTGTTTGCATCAAGTTTCTCAGACAATGTCCAATCCCTGATTGTTGAAATGGCAAATATTTACCAGTCATTTCCTATTGATACCTACAAAGGCTTGTTAACTGCAGCGCACATAATTGCAACACAGATTATATAAATTGACGCCGTTAATAAGCACCAAATTTTAGTCCCCTGCCAATTTGAAGATAAACAATTTGACAAAAATTGGGGGAGCACTGATAAAATGGAAATTGATTGATAGATGAAAGATTCAAATTTCAAATGCAGAAACCATATGGCAGTAGCTATTGTTCAAAAGGAAGAATTTAACTTATAAGGAATAGGGAATGTGACTAAGTTACTTGCAATTTTGGAGTCCTCTTTTTATTATTATCCAGAAACTGCAGCTTCAACAAATGAGACTTCACATTTTGGCCCTAAATTCCAGAACAATGCTTGAAAGTGGCACAAATTCAGAACATTGTCTAGTATCTCATGCAGGTGTAGGGCATCGTCATAAAACCTCTTCAAGTGACTAAAAAAGAGAAAACTATGCTGCACAAAACTGTACTCAGAACTATTTCTCCATTCAATTGTATTTACTGTAACTTCAAGGTTGTCTTGATTCAGAATTAGAATGTTGATGGTAATGCATAAACTCAGAGGTTTCTTAATTTAGAATAGCATTTTAGAGAGAGAAATTCATATATCCAAAATAAAATGTTAGAGAAAATCAACATTACAAGTAAATGCCAATATCCTAGCAATTATGTTTTCATCAGAAACAATCCAATATATTAAATTATGGTAGACAGAATACAACATATTGTCAGACTACATTTTATCTACCTCTTCAAGAAAATTACTATGGAAGTATGCTAAATTTCTGATAAAATTTTAAAAAAAGCCTATCCATGTTATGTTACATTATTATTTGATATATTAGTACTCTCTTCCTAGGTAAAGCAGGGACCAAATATATATCCCAGCTACTACATGTCCAAAAGAAAAGTTTTGAGTAGAAATATTTTTATATGCCACAAGTAAAATAAAGGACTAGCTAATTAAAAAAACTAAAGAAGAAGTCCTTTAGAAATTAGAGGAGTATGAAAAGCAGCATAAAAAGGGGGGGGGGGATGCAGAAAAAAGATATTGTTAATTAAATTGTAAGTATAGTTTTATAAATCTCATGAAGATTTTGTGAAAACAGATTACAAGAAGGAATTATTTTAAACAAATAAATTCATATTGATTATCAAACGAAAGACACCATTTTATTTTCAAGGGCAATTACAAGAACAAAACATTTACAATCACATACTCATGTGTAGCTTGAATTAATCATTTCAATAGGTTCATTTTAATATCATGGGTTCAACAACTTGTTCCATCACAGAATGCCAAAATGTCTATCCTAGAAAACTTCCCTTGGAACAGATTTTAGACCACAACTACTATATTCTTTCATGCAAAAGAAAATATATTACTTTACAATCCATGATAGTATTTATATATGCAAGGATGAAATCTGAAAGTAAATCCTTTTAACTGCTCTTTCCTATCTGGTCACTGTATCAAGCAACATTAGCAGCCCAAAAACAAGCACACAGATAGAATAAATCTTGGATCTGGACATAAACTAATCCCTTATCTCTACCACAATACTGAAACTGCTTAGCTTTTGAGAGAAACAATTCTGTTCATTTGTCACTACTGATTAATGCCAAAAAGATAATAAAAATAACAATAAGAAAAAAAAGAACCATCATACAAGCACTTTAAGCCTCACACCCTGTGCACCAGGAGTCTAAGTGGGCATAATTGATGTGACCTTGTCTTTTTTGCCCCATAATAAGATCTTGATATTGTTATAGAGTCTATCGATAGTGTTTGTATGCTTATCTCTAAAAATTACAAACTCTGATATGAGTTTTAATATTTTAGGTAAGCTTCTTTTGAGTTACTATGTTAATGGTAACATTTATGTATCATTTTACTTTCAGAATTTTCTACAGGGAAGCTTAACAGTTCTCCATATTTCTAAGGCAGTGAACCTTTTAGCCAGTTATTCTTTCTTTTCATTTCTGTATTAAGGTTATAATTCTGGTAAAGGAGCTATATCCAGGGGTTGGGGAAAATCTAAGTTAAAAAAAAAGGTAAAAGACACTCTCAGATAATATTTTACTAATCCAATCACTCAACAACACTAAAACATCTTTCCCTTCCCCTTGATTCTCAACCTGGAGAGAGAAAAAGGAAAGAACTCAATATTTAGGGAGAAAGCTATATGATTTGGGGTATGTGCTAGGGTTAACCCACACAAAACTCCAAACTTGTATTACTTCATATGCAAGTGCATGTACCCTTTTGTGTGGGACAAAAGAAAAAGTGCATCTCTTGGATTCATCAATGTGTATGAACCTTGAAGAAGATAATTATGCTAGTCCTTGTGGGATCTTTGACGAAATCTTTGAAGACTTTTGTTGAATATTCATATATCTGCAGTAGTCCTTTTCTCACGTTCAGAAGTAAACCCAACCCCCACCCCCCCAGCCAAAGAAAAAAAAAAAAAAAAAAAGAAAAAGTTCATTCCACACACAGAGAGAGAAAGATATCCATTATCTGCACGCTAAACTTTAAAAAGATTACGGAGGAGTAAAAGAATGGAATCTTCAAACCATTCATCAAGGACAAAAATATAATTAAGATTTAATCTCAAGGTTGATTCCCAAAGGCTATCATGGAAGATCTACACTGGATAAGAAAACTAGGGATGTTCCACAAGCCAAAATTTGGTCCATATTCCCTATTACAGTTTCCTCCAATAACTACAAATTGCAACTCCTAAACCAAAGTGAGAGAGTGAATTTAGATGGCATTAGAGGATCCTCGCCTTGATCATAGATATATATTTTATTTTGTTGCATCAAATGGAAAAAAGTTGCAATAATAGTGTGAGAAAAAGACAACATTAAAACTGAAAAATCAAGATGCACGAAAACTCAATTCTTGTACCTGCGCTGCCCCCAATAAAATTAAGGGTTAACTTCACTAAACCCCTTTAAATTATTCCTGAAAAATCACTTAAAACCCCTAAACTACTAAAACATCATTTACTCCCAACTTTAATGGTCCATTGGTGGTAGTTTTTTGAAAATTGCTGACGTCATCAATTACACACCATGGTTGGCAGGAGTTAATCTGCTGGGATTTTCGGCCAAAATGTCCCCAAGCTCCTTTGAAATAGTTGTAAGCTTATTTTCATCCATTTCTCACCCAACTACTTTCATTTAACTCCTCTCTCTTATTTCTTCTCATTACTTACCCAACTAGTCTCATTTCACTCCTTTCTCTTATTTCTTCTCATATTTCGATAATATGATATCCACCCACTACAAATAGCATTTTAATTGTATGATAGCCACCCACTTGTTGTAGATCCATCAATCTTGCTTTAATTTCTTCAATTTTCAGCAACAACTCCTTATTTATAGCCTCCAAGCTGTTACATTTTTCTTCCAAGGTTCATATCACTTTGTTTTTGTCATCCAAAATGTGTAAATAGGTATCACTAATTTCTAGCCATTTTTTACATATTTATGATTCAAGTCACTCCAAATAGTTGCATCCACCTTCATCTTTCTACAATGAAATCATAATATTAAATAAAAAAAATAAACAAATAAATAAAAACTCAAAAATAAGAAATTACTTACAGTCCAATTGCTACATCCAACAAATTTCCTAATTGGATTTAATATCATACAAGATGCTTGTATTGGTGCAGGTTTATTGCAATTGCAATACAATAAGGGAAAATTACTAACGTAATATCTTGATCATTGACAGAAATTACAAACATCTTACAAATTTGTTGAATGAGAAATACTTGACATATTTTTTTCATTTTTAAAAATATAATATTAAGTAAAAAATTTTGTGATAAAAAATACCCAAAAAATTGAGAAACTAATGAAATATGAGAAGAAATAAGAGAGATGAGTGAAATGAGAGTAGTTGGGTGAGAAATGGATGAAAAATAAGCTTACAACTATTTATAAGGAGCTCAAGGGCATTTTGGGCTGAAAATTCTAATGGAGTAACTCCTATCAGTCATGGCCTGTAATTGCTGACATTAGGAATTTCCAAACGGCTACTACCAACATACTGTTAAAGTCGGGGGTAAATGATATTTTAGTAGTTCAGGGCTTGAGTGATTTTTTGGGAATAATTTAAGGGGGTTTAATGAAGTTAACCCTAAAATTAATTGAGATAACTAAGAGAGAGATACCTAGAAGTAACATAATTCCCATGATGGGGTGCACAGTAGTAGAGAAAATAACAGGAAATAGGTTGTGATAGTTTGAACATATGCAACAAACTGATAAATGCTCAAGTGGTGGAGACTAACAGGTTGACTCAGGTGCGTTCAAGTCAATGACTCCAGGTTCAGTCACACAGCTCAACCCTGAGGACCCATTTCCAAGCCACCCCAACATGACACATTTATGCAAAAACATCCAGCAAGAGAGAAAAGATGAAACATGACATCTCAAAAAATTTTGCCACAACATGTAGCGATTACAATAAATAGGTGAGGCAACTCATTGTGAATGGCATGGAAACTGCAAGTTAGTTAGGATGAGGAGGGACTTTGCCACCTCTACACTTCTAATCATGACAATGGATGTTATATATAACTGTTGAAACTGTGTTCAAAACCTCAGACACTTGGGATTAGAATATCATTAATGCACGTTTGATGTGCCCAGCATGGTAAGTTGGGACAGAAGAATCAAGATAAAAGGGGTTAAATGGTGGATTGATAGCAGGTGCCCTAAGGGCACACAATTTCCCCAAGTATTAATCTCCCAAGCCCTAACAATCAATTTTTATCCAACAACAACTACTACTACAACAACAAGAGTAATATCCCAATCTTTTTCCAAGCTAAAACAAAGATGCTTTGATACACATATTAATCATATCTCATCCCATCTTGCAGTATATTGAGAATTTTATGAAGTGTTGCATTTAAATTTGTTGTATTGATTTGGCTTTAGTTTGACATAAAATGGAGACAAAGGACTCACATAGACATCCCTATGCAAATGGGAAAATAGTTAGTGGCCTTCAGTTGAGTTAGATTCAGTTTGTATATAACATATGAAGGCTACATAACAAGATGATCCTCAAAATCTTTCATTCCATCACACCATGTTAGATTGGTAAAAAAATTGTATCCAGAAAGGTGTTAAAAAGTTTACAAACACTGTACAGGAAATTTGAAAAAAATTTAAATTTCACTGACTGCTCTTGCTTGAGAAACTCAGAAAGCATAATGGCTGAAAAACTAGAACCCGTCTCGTGTCATAACATTGATTTATTTTATATTTTTAAGTAATAATTTAAGCTCTACAAGGGTTTTAACTGTTAAAGGCAGCTACTTGTCCGATGATAAATCTCAAAATCATGAGATCACAACATACTGCAAACCAATTATTTTGTCAAAAATTACAAAGACAAATTTTACCTAATTCATGTCTGTGCATTAATTTTCTTTCTTTTTTTTTTTTTTACTGATAAATTCTACAACAAGCATTTCCGCCACATAAGTACAAAAAGAAAAGGAAATGTGTCTTCTAATTACTCATAATTCCAGTACTCCAATAGTGAAAGCATAATGAGAAAAATAAGCAAAATATTGTTGCTATACCAAAAAATACCTGCTTTTCAGTCCACACTCTACAGCTATGTGGATCAATAACACAGTACCAAGTAATCAAAACGAACAATGCAAATTATTTAATGAATTCAACATACACATAACAGTAGCACAAGCAGAATACCGAGAGTCGTGCATACATAGTCGCACGTAAAGCTCTAGTGAAAACCTAGCGCAACTCAGCGAGCCATATTTTGTTGATAACATGTAAACAAAAGTGAGGGTAAAATTTCTACCTTCTCTTTAACAGCTTCTTCCCTCTTGGAAATCTGTAGTTGCTTCTGAGATACACTTGGACTAGTATCCATGTCGCTTACAAGTTGTTGCTTCCATTCAAATTGGGAGGTAATTATCAATATAAGCAAAAGAAACACCAGCAGCATTGGCCTCGACATGTTTACAATCTTCTCTTGCAATATCTGTCCCTCGTATGATGAAAAAAAAAAGTAAAATGAACAAAAAACCAAATGAACACCTAAACACGCGGAACGCAAACCCTAATTAAGTGCAGCCAAGCGAATGAGCGATCAGAGCATAGGAACCCAACAATAAAAAGGCTAAATCCTCGGTTTGTCTGCTCTGTAATTGAAAGAAAGTGAAGAGATTGAGAATTTCCAAAATCCCCAAACTTGGTGCTAGACCTCAGTAGTTGCGAATCAGAATCAATGCCCAATTTTCAATTTCTTGTTTATTCCTCTTGTTTCTGGAAAGAAGGATCAAATTCGTGAGAACTTACATATCGAGGCTCAACTCTAACAGCTTGAAATCTCAAATACGCATCTTTCTTTCTGGTTTAGGTACAGCCACTGCCGCGTTCCATGTTAACAGACTGACTAATGGGTACTGGGTGAGTTGGCGTAGAAAGTAGCTAATGATTAAGAAGTTTGATTGCGACCCAGATAATTTGCTCAGCATCAACAAACGCTAATGGCGTCAAAAGTGAAACTCGAGATAGGAAAGAACGAAAGAAACCAGCAGATTGTTGCAACACGCTTCAGCACGGTGGGATCCAAGTGGCAGTCGGTCCAAACCGCCCGGCTCGCGATTGATATCTGTGCTCATTACACTATAGGGCCATTTTCTTTAATAGGACTGAGAATGGAGCGGGTAATGATGTATTTATCCAGTATTTGATTGAAAAATTCGCTTTTATATTTGTCTTTCGTATTTGGTTGTATATTAATTTTAATTTTTATTTCTGTCTCCATCCAACAGTATTATATTAATTTGTAGATACTTATATTTATTTGCATATAATTTATTTTTTTAAAAAAAAAACTATTATGTTTTATAATATATTAAATATACATTTTAATAAATTAATTTTTAAATGTATATATATATATATATAATATATTATACCAAGTTATGTATGAGGTGGATTTAATATTATAATTCTCCTAATTATTCTCATATCTGAAAACTTTCCATAAAAGTTATCAGATTCACGATAATCCTATTTTGCAATATTTACACATGGCTCTAGTCAGATCTAAGTTATGGTACTTGTCAGAAATGAATAAATTCCCATTTCTACTTTAAAAAAAAAAAGGAAAGAAGTAGAGCTTCGGGAAATATGAATACTTGGTTGGTGGATTTTTCTTTTTTTTTTTTTTTTTGGGTAGAGAAACATTAGTACTTCTAAACCAAAGGGCAAATGACCAAGACTTCTATGAACCCTCTTTCACAAGAAGTAAAGTCTCCACTGAAAAACTTTAAATGTGCATGTACCAACATATTTGATTAATAATTTAAATGTAATCTGGAGAGCTTTATTACATAAAAATTCAAAAATAGGATTAAATGAGTGACAACATTTTCATAATCATTAGCAAAAGTGAAACTCAATATTACCAATTCCCAAAGTAAATATAGGCAGAAATTCCCACTTCAATCCAGAGGATAACGAAGGGAGAGAAATAGAAATCAAGCAACTCTTGATGATCATTTTGTTTCTCCGTATGAAAACCAAGTTCATTTTTGACTAAAAAGAAAAATAATGCAGCTTGACTAAACTAGTTAAGCCTGGTATTTAGCTTTCTTCGACTAATGTCGATTCATTTTCAATCCTAACATGATTCAAAGGTAAAGGTAGATATATGGTTATTGTATATTGATTTTCAGTTTATATAAGAATTGATCTTATCAAATTCTCAAAACCATTTTGTCTTATTAAATTTTCAACAATTTCATAATAATAACCTGGCAAAAAGAAACCATACACCCCAGCCACCAAACAGCGCCTGATCAAATAAAGACATGATGGTATGTGTAGCACGGTCAAGCAAACAGAAGAGGAACTAATGAGGAGCAAGCAACATGGAGTGGTAGTATACATGAACCTCTTATTCCAGAATACATGATAAAGCACTTACTACTTCACAGTATCATCTCACATACAAGTAAAAACACACACAACAATTAAGACCAACTACATATCCTTATATAACAGGTAAACATGAGCTAATTTCTTGGCTTGCCAAGGTACTCCCGATAAAACAATAAGAAAACCAGCAGAATCAAGACAAGCAAGAAAATGTAGGTAGAACGATATATCACTCTCCGTTCTGAGAATAAGCGCGGCACGCATTTGGGTGATTCCACTAGCTCAACAAAGTCATCAACCTCCTGGGTCTTGGCCTCCCCCTGGTAATTTTTCGGCTCATTTCTCAGCCTTAATCTGATTCTTCGGTTTGCTGTGCCCTGGAAGGGAGGGACAGGTAATGCTGTTGCTTGTGCTGGCTGTTGAGAAACCCTCTCATCGAAGTTCTCGGCCACCTCAGGAGTGGGAGATAGCAAAGATTTATCTAGCTCAACTATATCATCTTTTAGTATCTCATTGTACCACTCCTCATCATCACAAAGCTGCAAAAACCAAGTACTAAGGATTTGGATCACCATTTTTAAGTTCTAGTCCATCTATTTTTTCACGGACAGCCCAGATACTTTCATGAAGATATATGCACTTGAATACAGAAGATGTAAATTTGCAAGATCCAAAAAAATACAGGTTTTCACAGACAATTAAGGGTGTGCAATCAACCCAGAAAAGGCAAAAAACTGAACCAACAAGGCCAATTGGTTGTTCAGTTTTTTCCAATGTTTGGTTCTGTTTCGGTTTATCAACGATATAAAAATGAGGTGTTTTGTTTGGTTTGGTTTTGGCTTTTTTCAAAAATTTACCCACAGACCCACACTGAACCGAATATAATAAATAATTACATGATACATAACATATATAACATTGAAATATTATTTTGGGAAAATGACTGGCGAGGTTAGCTTGTTAAGAATTCAACAATTAAGGTCAAATGCGAAATTATAACTAGCCCAAGTTAAAGAGCCAAAGAATTACTCCATTAAGGATTTCTACATTCCTAATCTACCCTTCCATTCTCCGGCAACCTCCCCTTTGCCCTGAACCACTCAGCTTTTGCCAATGGCAACAATTCTTGTCCAACCCACTGAAAAACCACCACTGACTTCGTCTGCTGATGGCAACTCAGGCACACCACTTCCCAGCTGCTATCATCAACCCCTGCCATCACCCAATCTGCGGAAAGCCGGCTGCAGCAGAACCAACCCAACTGGTTTGAGGAAGCAGTTGATGCAGCAAAAATAGTCACCCTGCTCTTCCAATCAACTGATAATGCCCATCACCCTCAGACTGCCCCATTTGCACCCCATTGTGCAACTCTTCCTTAGGGATTAGCCTCACAGCATCTGGCCAGAAAAGATGCATTCACAGGGGCCAATTTTGCCCCAAATTGCAGAGGGAATGAAAAGGAAGATGGAAATAGCACACGCAAAAGGAGGGAGGAAGACGGAATTGCAGGAGGGACACGGGTTCAAATGAAGAGTAGAAAGGGGCAAACAGGCAAAGGCCCCTCAATCAAACCACGAGTAAGTGTTTAAAACAAAGAGTAGGGGTTCAACTGAGCAAAGGCGCCACTTCTACCTTCACCAAACATCAACAGGAAGGCAGACAAAGAAGCAGAGGCATAGGCCACCGAATCCCTCTCCCTCCTTTCTTCTGTGTGTGATTCCCCTCTTCCTCTGCCACTAAACTTCTCTTCTGTTTGTTCTACGATTCCCTCTCTCATGATTCAACACACGGCCCTTCCAATTGTGATAGAGGACTTTGACCAGAATTCTACTCTGTTCATCTGTGATCCATTTAGGGTTTTCCCTGCTACTGCTTCTGCTTGTTCTTCCTCTGCCACTGCTTCTGCTGCTTCCTCAATGCTACTTCTCCTTCTTCTTCTACTTCTTCCTTTGCCAGTTATACTTCTTCCTCGACGATTTTGCAGAAGGGTTGTGTGCCAGAGGTAGACAAGAGGTGGAGGAGCGAGCAGAGAAAGAAACGTTGGGCTGTAATGTAAAAGCAGAAGCAGCAACAGAGAGGCAGCTGAAGGACAGCAATGGTGGGCACATGGCAAAGAGGCAGATGGAGAAGGGCAGCGATGGTGGACAGGCAGAGGAGAGGCAGCCGAAGTAAAGTAAAAACAAGAATGTAAATATCCTTAATGGGATGATTTTTAGATTTGACTTAAATTGTAAATAATTTCGCATTTAACCTTAATTGTCCAATTTCTTAACAAGCTAACCTAAACAGTCACCATATTATTTTTATAGATAATTTATACATATATTATATATTTGTATAATCTAATAAATATTTGTATAATCAATCAGATTTTGTTTTCTGAATAATTAGATATTCATATAATAAATTAAATTGTTGACCTCAAAACCAAACTGAAAAGAACTGTTGACATCCTTATTGACAGCCCAAATCTTTTCATGAAAATATAACAAGAAAATATTATAACAATGAAAATTAAGAAAAGCTGTCATGGATGGCCCTAGATATTGCAATCTTCATTTCAGTATGAAATAGTTAGGATATAAATACCTAAAGCTCTGCTAGCTTACCATTAGTCACTGTCAATACAGAAACTATAGCCTTGGTAACAGAGGCAGTAGGCTCTCAGAAGGCTATAACATTCAGATAAAGCTTATGTCTATAATGAAACAGAAAAAGGAAAGGAAAGACAAACAAACCTGCTGGTAAGGTCCAGGCTGAAGAATCTCATTCACCAGCTTCTGATCGGACTCAGATCCAGAATCAATCTGCTGCTCAATTGAATGAGAATTATAACTGTTGCTACACTCCTTTGACCAACATTCAATTGCCTTGGCCAATGGGTCAACTACACTATTATTCACAGTTAATAAATGCCTACCATTCAGAGTACCCCTTTTTGGACTGCCACTTGGTCGAAACTCAGTGTTCCTCTTAAGGCGGCAAACAACCACATCCTACATTTTTTGGCAAAAATAATAGATTTTATCAAGATAGGATCTCACATAATGAAGCAAGTGCAAATACTCTAAAGAAGGGAGCAGTGACAACAGCATTATACAAGAAAGGCATATAATTCACACTACATATATTCAGATCACATTTTCTGGTAGAAGAGTCATGTACAATAGAGACCAAGAGCATAAATACACCGCAAAGTTTTTACAGAGAAAATGGCTTTTTCATAATTCAAACAAAAAAAAAAAATAAATGGAAAAGGGCAAAGCAGTCACCAACTTCTTATCCAAAGCATGTCAATCTTGAGGAGATCTTACATGCCAGGCATAATATATACACTTTATGGTGCTCATCTCCTAATTAAAACAAAAAGTAATCAAACAGAAGGTGAAGCAAAATAATGAGTAATTAATCTTCTTATGGCTCAGCAGCCACCAATGAGACTATCCATGCCTGG